AGAGAATAAAATCTTTACAGCCATAATTAAAACCGTACTTGCAAAAAAAGCGCAAAGTGAAATTAACAATTTAATTTAACAACAAACAATTATAATCGGACATGAACTGAAAGAGGTGTTAAGTCAGATTTTATTAGTTTAACTTTCCTTTGCAACATCTCCATAGCTCTAATCATCTTGAAATTGTCAATCTTAATGTTTTGCTATGTAGCCTGGTCCGTTTATCTGACAACTTAATTAAGTTTTCAGCTCTCCCGCGCAAATTTTAGTCTCTTTGTTTATTATAATTGTATTGTTATATTTTTTAAAAGGATGTTGGATCTGATCAATAAAGCGTTATTAATGAAATTATGGTGAAATGTTTACGAATTTTCTTCAGTTTCTAATTCCTGATTAAGAATAACTCGATATTATCAAGTCACAACTAACTTCTGTCCTGACGAAAAAACTGGTTCAAAGATAAACTGTTTGCGATTTAAGAGAAGAAATTATATAAATTCTTGTATTTCTAACCATGATTGGTTTCTATTAAAACACATAACTAAATACTGTCAAAAAATTTCTTATGACATATATTTCCGAGGTAAAAAATCATAACCTATTTGACATAATCTATTTAACGAAGTTCTCAGGGAAGGAATTCCAAATGACATCTTTTAATTACAAGACTTCTGTTCAGAGGAGCAGTCACATTTCAGAATATAATTTCAATTAATTTCGCACATGTTGAAATTCCGTGGGAACTGGCCTATAAACCACGGGTCGCCAAGTTTTATTTTACGAAACAAACCGCCGGCTGCAACTGTCCCACCATGACCGAGCTACTGCTGACTGAAGAACTACCGCGACACGACGCCCGCACCCCACCGCACATCCATCAGCCTCGACCACTCGAGGCTAACTGCGACCTGAGGGCATGGGTCGCATGACGGGACCAACCTCCGCTCTCACTGCAGGCCGGATGCTCAACGAGCCTTCATTATAATGAATGCGGTTGTTGTAAGTCATAAGACAGTTGTCAGCCCCATAATTAATCAAAGAAAATGCCATGTTGCTAAGATGCAAAAACTACATCTACTATATCTACTTACACTACAAAAATTACATCGCTACGTATGTTAATCGAATGTCCCCCATCATTTCGATATTTATAATATAAATTTACTGATGCTTTAAATTTTCAAAATCATCTTAACAAAAAAATCTACTGATGTTTATTTTGTTGAGATGTATACTATGTCTGCATGTTTTTATCAACATGTGGTTGAGATTTCTTCAAAGCCTTCTGGGTCTATTCCATGAAGCCTCTGTACACATGAATACCAAAATATTCATGAAAATAAAATCTTATGCAGAAAAATATGGATGGATGAATCAAACACCTTTCGATATACCCCCGTGTTCAAAAGATTTTCTGTGGAATATTCTGTGGATATTCAACAGATTTTCTGTGGATTTCGATATTTACTCGCGTTAAATAATCCTACACATTTTCTGCGGAATATTCTGAGAGCAAATTATTTCATAATAAGCGACACGAAATTCTCTACTTTTCTGCCGCGCGTGTCGCTTCTTTGCAAGGAAGCGCAGTCGTTAGTTCGGCCAGCTCGTGCACGGAGCGATCGTTCCCACACGCACGCATTAAAAAAACGCTGAAGATGAGCGCCCGTAAATGAAAAACATCGCCGTCGCTAAGCTGTCCGATGTACGGGTCAATGGGTTGAAGCACGCTAGCTGTGAAGTTTTTCCTGGCATAAACATGGAAGTTTATCGTTCGGCTTTCGAGGATATGGACCAAGCCTTTGAAAACCGCATTATCATTCATACTAGCATTCTTTACCTGTTTGCTAATTTTTTGTATTAATTTTGTTGAAGAATTGCGGCATTAGAAAATTTTGTGGTCCTTGCAAATATTCTTGAGTTGTTTCAGCTTGGGTAGTTAAATGCATTTCATCTCCTAAAAAAGTTTTATCTACTTCAATATATATTTCATTTTCTATAATAATGATTTTATATTCTATTTCATTAAAAGGTTTTTACTTCTAAGGCTCAAACTACCAAAAATCCACAAACGATGCAGCTGGCGTGACGTTTAACACTTGATCACCTAAGACATTGCTGATTCCAAATACTTTTTTTCATTCTTCACAAAATGGCTGATCGATCTTCTGGTTATGAACCCTTTTCACACATAAAAAGATGGGAATCTCTTCGAGACACAATAAAAAAATTTTACTGCCTTCATCGGAATAATAATGGTATCACTGGTTGAAATATCTTGATGAAATCGCCTCTCTATTTGCCACTCATCATTGTGTATTTCTGTTTTTTACAAAGATGTAACCCTCGAAAACTTTTGGGACGAATTTTCCGAATGAATTATCTAGACGAAATTCATAGCTTATTTCCACGGATAAGTTTTTCAAATATTGACCGATCTAAATTTAATTAACAACAAAGCTTTTCATGTAATGCAATTTACGGTAAATTTTTAGCCACCTCTGTTCGCCTAATTACGTGCATTACACAAAAACGAAGTGCTGTAAAAATTTATAACACTCACAGGACGGCATTGTGAATTAATAGTTACGATGAAAACGTTGTGAATAAGGTCAAGATCGCTTATAGAATTGAATATAATATAATATAATAGAATAGAATAGAATAGAATAGAATAGAATAGAATAGAATAGAATAGAATAGAATAGAATAGAATAGAATAGAATAGAATAGAATTAATAGAATAGAATAGAAAAGAATAGAATAGAATAGAATAGAATAGAATAGAATAGAATAGAATAGAATAGAATAAAAAGGAAATAGAAATAGAAATAGATTAGGATAGAATAGAAGTATCGGCACTGAAGAAATAGGCCCATGGCCTGTGGCCGATTCTTGCACTTTTCGTAACTTGATTCACAAGGGATCCGGCCTTTGGAACCCGATCTTTCCATAACTGACGATTGATTGAGATAGCTTCGAAAGATCGCTTATGATTTGAAAAACTAATAAATAGGAAACGCGTAAAGACTTATCATTTAGCGTGCCAATTAAAAAATTAGTATATAAAAATACTGACAACGGTCGCTGGAGCGTGATGTCAATTAATAGCCTCGTTGTAAATAAGCTCATTAGGGCAACATGGGGCAGCGAGCCCCCCCCCCCCCCCTTTTTTAAACTAAAGTTGTGATGAAGTTATAATTGATACGAGGTGNGGGTAACATGGGGCAGCGGCCCCCCCCCCACTTTTTTAAACTAAAGTTGTGATGAAGTTATAATTGATACGAGGTGGTTCTTTGTTTTGTTTAAAAGTACAACTAATGAGGAATGTATGATGTGAATTAGACGCCTATAGAGTAATTCCATTTTTATTGAAACACTATTTAGTAAAAAGTGTCAAATTGGGCCTATTGCCCCACCCCTGGGGCAATGGCCATGGGCCCATGGGTTTGGGGCAAGGCGCTCACCCTTGGTCCCTTTACCACCATTGCATATTTTTCGTTTAAAAATGATAAAACAACACTTTACAGTTAAAAATAAGAAAAATGTAATAAAAAATATGGCATTCATTCATTTATTAACAACTCAAAAAATAATTTCCTTAACTTGAAAAAAGATACTCTTGCCTTAAAAAATCTATCACTGACGTGATCACGTGAAGAAAAATATTTCATTGCTATAAAAATATATATCCTCCACTTGAAAAATATATCCTTGCGATAAAAAATTCGTCCTTGACATGAAAAAATTTATCCTTGACTAGAAAAAATATATTTAGTTGATCAGAAAAAACTTCGTTCCAGTTTCGTCCATAATCCAGATATTATGTGCAGAGAATTCGTACCTAATCTTGATTTCAGCAAACACCATAAAAACTCATCAACTTTTGGCTCATTGGTGTTGACTGAAATCAACTTTTGGCAGGGCAAGAGTCAATAACTCGATAAGGGGTCAAAAATACCCATAACTAGAAACTAAACCTGCTGCCTTGAGGCGGCAAATAAAAAAATCATGCAATATGAAGTATAATATGTAATTAAAAAAGCTAGTCATAGTTTTGAAAAGGTCATTTAGACAAATCTAATGATGTTTAACACAATACTTCACCATGGGCGCTTTGCCCCGTGACACGCGTGGGCCCATTGCCCCACTTAGGTATCATTTCAATTTATATCGTGTCAACATTTTATTTTGAAAGCTAATAGTCCAAACTTGCTCTCAAAATTATCACTATATATATTACTTTCAAAATATTATTTACAGTAATTTCAAAAGCTTCATCTACAGTAATGAAAACCAGTTTTATTTAACAGCAAAAAAATGTATCTGGGCTAAAATATTTATTCACAAATAGCTTAATAACGCAATCACTTAGCAAAACGCAAATTCGTACACTTCACCCCAGTGAAACTGTCGACCGGCGGTAGAGAACACGGACCAATATCTGCCATACTTAGCGAGAAACCCGCTATGGGCCCATGACCCGCAGTGGGCTCGCTGCCCCATGTTACCCTATTGGTTGTAGTTGACTAAATTATTTCTAGTAAACTTGCTAAAATTTTGCGATTTCTACGCAAATAAAATCGGTAGCGGAGAAAAATTCTGAAAGCGTTCGCAAGAGCGTATTGTGAATAATAGCTTTGTTTCTAATTTGATTAACATCGGATTTTGATGTTAAAAAATTACGCGTGAAAACCTGCCATGCAATTTCGTCCCAGAAATGCCCGAGCGGTGATAATTAAGTTCAAATTTACATTTTCTGCTACCTATACGTGTCTGTATTGTTTCTTTTCTTGTTCTCCTGATCTGACTGTGAACCTTTGTTTATGAATTACTAGTTTTAAAATTTAAAAGATAAATTAAGTTTATATAATAGTAACCGTTAAATTTAGCCAAGTCCAAATGGTTATTCTTCATTGCCCTAACTTCCTTTAAAATTGCCGTAAAAACATGTGGCGCCATCTATTGGCAGCGGCAGAGAGACCACAATAAATAGTAGAGCCAAGAGGCGACCCGTGGTTGTTCGGTCTCTTGCCGCTTCGCCATTTTGCAGCATCTTGTGCTAGACCTGAGAGCTTAAGATATCTAAGTTCATAAATTTTTGATAATCTTCTGTAGTTAACGAAGCTTTTAATAAGGTTCAAAGATATTCTCATCAGTATGTTTTAGGTAAGTCTTGGCATTCACCTGGAGAACGGGCAATAGAAGTAGCTGCTACATCATCATTTCACCGGACGCGCATTTCTTAAACGTATGACCTATCTATCTAAGATATCTATAGTTCTATCTACTTGAAATTATAGATACTAAAATATTAATATCGAAACAATGAAGTTTTGGAAAGATTGAACCGCTTCTTTTTGTTTGTGTAGCTAGTTAGCTCACGCCTCACTTAGCTGTAAAATGACCGATGGAAAATGAATTAGGCTAGTTACCCGTCAATCATTGATAGTTTCATCAAAACTATTGACTTTGCCATGGTTCCCTTGACAGTGGACACTTAAGAATTAAGACCTGAGTTAGCCTCTTTGGCTCTTTCCAGCTGTTGTCAGAGTTATGGAGACACTTGACTATGTCACCACCACACTCATCTTGCCATTTATATATAAAAAGGCACTAGAAACAATTTAAGGCCTATTTTATATACAAAACTGAACCACATCTTTCTAATGAAATTTTATTTGTCTTTAGTTTTAGTTATGTGGCAATCAAACCCTACAAATTATACCTAGTTCTGATCTGTAGGTTGTTTTTAGTGACAACTCCAGGTCTCATACAATGGCAATAGTCGTTGTAATTTCAACAACTTTCGCTGAAGTTATCGACCAATTTTTTTACTTTACAACGACTTTTGAGCTAAAATAATAGGTCATTTATCTTTTTCAACGACTGCCAACTAATGGGACTCTTCCACAATAAACTTCTGACGACAGCCAACAAGCGACTTAGCGAGAAACGACAAGATACGACTGCGGTACTGACTAAAACCCGGACCCCAACAGCGCATTACGAGCGGCGGATGTAAAATGTTCAGCCCCGGGACAACGCAACCATCATAACTATCGACTATCGACTGGCATGCGGTTGTTCAACGACCAGATGACCTTGAGATAAATTTTACAACGACTCTTGTGCCACACTATGAGACCTGGTGACAACTGACAAGTGACAAGCAATGTAGTTGTGTAGGCTTAGGATCTGCAAATGGCAACTCACTCAGCATTCAGGCCTTTCAGGGACCAGGGTATTACTTTAGATTAAGTGCATCCAAAAAAAGTTTTTTTTTTTAATTCTGTTTTTTGGGGTGTAGATAAAGAATCTGAAATCCGTTTTTGGCGGTCGGCATCGGAAAACTGTTTTTTTTCCGATTTTTTTATATACCGGTATTTTCTATAGAAAACGACAATGGGGAACCTGTGGGGAACCGGCGGTTTTAGGGGGAGGACACGCCCGATGCTCTAATTTGTCGGAAAAAAATTGGGCAAAATCAGCAAAGTTAGGTTAGGATGTAGGGCAGGCTGCTATTCCGCACCACCTAGTCTGGAAAAGTCCTATTTTTGTCTGAAATATCGCGGCTCTAATATCATATAATTTCAGTAGGTATGAAATCTTGCGGCTCGAATGTCATTCCATAAAACCACGGCTCGAAAAATTCAGTCGCGGCTCGCCAAGTAGATATATTCCATACTAGCGCACCACCCAGGAGGTTGCAGCTTAGGTGCGTTAAGGCTTGAATCCTAACCTAACCTTAGTAACCTAGCGCGATTTTTAGGTTTTACATAGGTTTACAGTCATTCCCAGATCGATATAGATCATTTCCACTCAAAAAAAAATTTCCGATTTTTTTCAATTTTTTGCCGATTTTTTGACAAATTAGAGCCTCGGGTGTGTCCTCCACCCCTAAAACCCCCGGTTCCCCACGGGTCCCCCATTGTCATTTTCCAGGTCCCTCTTTGTCGTTTTCTCTAGAAAATATATAAAAAATTGGAAAAAATCAGTTTTCCGATGCTGACCGCCAAAAACGGATTTCAGATTCTTTATCTACACCCGTCCCCAAGAAACATAAATAGAAAAAAAACACCCTTTTTTTGGATGCACTTAATCTAAAGTAATACCGCATTCAGCAACTGCTGTGGCATAACTTAAGTCGCAACGGAAGCGATTATTGGATTTAATTGTGCACATGTTTTAATGATTAACACCATGGCATAACTGGGATTGACAGTATGCAAATTGAAACTAAATAAAAAATTGTGTTGTTTCAAATATTTTCAGTGTAATAACTGTGCTGGATAAATTCTTCAACTGTGTGCTGCTTATTTATTTAAAAAATTCTGTTGGTTAAATGTATAGGTAAATAGAACTTTTATGTACTATTTTTATATAAAAATAAGTACTTTTATGTACTTATTTTTATTTAAAAAAAAAATCAAAAATCAACTATTTTTTTTTATTCATTTGATTTTTTTGATTTGTTCAGCTTTTTTGTCTTTTTGAAGTGTTATTTTTTATGTTGCAATTAGCCTACTAACAATAACAGTATATGGATCATAATGGATGGCCAAGAAGGGCACTTATTGCCTTCAATAATAGCCAACAGGCCAAAGGTGGTGTTTACCACTTAGGGATTTTTGGGTAAACACTTATTGATAAGTCTATTCATTAACTTGGTAAAGTTTGTATGGAGCAAGGTAATGAACTAAATATTGACCATTTAACTGGCTTCAATACACAGAAACACTTCAGGAATGCAGATCTTCTAAACATTGAAGAGTCACATAACAGATAGGTAGCTGATAGCACAGTGCACATCACTATCAATAGATCCACTAGTTTTATGTCCTATAAATCTACCAAACTCTACCCTCTATACACACCAACTAGTAGTGACTGACTGCACTGTTCCCATTTAATTCGGACCAATAAACCAATCCTAAACATAAACTGAACGAAAACCAAACAAACCTCATACGACTTGAAACAAGACTTAAGTTATGAGAAAAGCTAACACCGGTGAAATAAACATGTGCACAATTCAAATATTTTATATCCATTCACTGCATTTAATTATTTTATATATAGCCTTATAATTGTAATTGTTTTGTTTCTAGTTTTAAATTCACATATTTAAAGATTGAAATTATATATTTTAATTAGAATACTTGTATTACGGTGGAAAATCTTTCTAATTGCCTAAAAGGTCAATACAATCTCAACCTCTCAATATACAGGGTAGGGCAGAATGGATTGAGCAGTTTTGAGGTAAAATAGAAGAGTAAAGGAGTTACATAAAAAAAAGTTTATTTTCCTAGAGGTTAGCATAACATGGTACCATTTAGAATACTTATGTTTTGAAAACAATATCTGAAAGATGGGGCCATTAGCTGCAACACACTGTTGGAGTCGTTCTCAGAGGAGGGAGTAATGGTAACAGTGAATTCCGATCGCTATGCTGCTATGTTGCAAAATTTCTTGCAGCCCGTGATGGAAAACATTGTTGAAAATGAAGCATTGGGAGATGTGTGGTTCCAGCAGGATGGGGCTACAGCTCACACAGCCCAAATGTCACTCAATGTTTCGAAAGGCATGTTTCCGGACGCATTTGCGATTTCTTTCTTTGGGGACATCTAAAAGAAAGGGGTTCAGAAGTCACCCTCACACCCTACCACAGCTGAGGGAGCAGATTATTGTAGCAGAGGTTATGGCCATACCTCACCATATGTGTAAATGTGCTGTAGAAAACTTCCAAGAACGGCTCCAACAGTGTGATGCAGCTAACAAACCCCATCTTCCTGATATTGTTTTCAAAACATAAGTATTTTAAATGGTATGTTATGCTAACCTCTAGGAAAAAAACTTTCTTCTTTATGTACCTCCATTACTCTTTTATTTTGCCTCGAAACTGTTCAATCAGTTCTGCCCTGCCCTGTATAAGCTAGCTAACACATTTAAATTGTATATTGTAATCAATATATAACAAATAGTCAAATAGTTGAAGACTACTTATAGCCTTATAAGAATTAGCTAAGCTGCTAGCTATGTACAATGTATTGCACACTTGATGCCTCTGTACCAAAAACATTCAATTTATTGGAACCTAATTCAAACTAAAGGTAACAAGTTTATATACCAATTTGTCATTCATAGTACATTTATACTAAACTATGAATAACAAAACCTAAATATAAATTAAAGACTGCCACTCAATATTTTTAAATATATGAAAAAATAAAAAAAAATAAAAAAAAATCATGATTTTTTTTGTAAAAAAATCAAGTGATTTAATCACATGATTTTTTCATTTTGATTTAATCATTGCCAACCCTGTTACTAGCCTCAGCCCTTGGCCCCTTGCCCATCAGACAAAGATTTATGCTTGTTTCTTTTTTCATGCAAAAAAGGTTAAATAATCATCTCTTAAGGGTAACCGCCGTATATTCCGACATTGTGGGTAATTCCAACACTTCTCAACTTTTTTCCTTTATATTAAGCTTTGTCTTAGTTCCACACATTTGTTGATGGTTGAAATTGTGACGTCATACTATTGCGCGCCATACTATTGCCAAAACACTAGGTCTGGGCCTGTGGGCCATCTGGCGGGAAACAGAGACAGTGCACGTCACCCAGTGAGAACATAGAAAAACGTGTCAAAGTTGATAGTTGACCTTGCTCTACCAAATAATGATAAACTGTTTGTGTAGAAAGAATATTATGGTTTGAGACTTTTAAATAAGTCTGTGAATATATTAGGAATCCTTTAAGTATACTTGTATTTGCTGATTTCAAGTGGTAAATAAATTAATAGATGATTAAGTTAAGCGACGGTTTTAGACACATAAAAACTAATTCCAACACAGCTTGGAATTAGACACACACTGCTTGATCTGAGCTGTGTCCAAAAATTAAAATTTTTTTAATTAAAAGCTTAATAGCTCTTAATTAAAAGCTTAATAGCTCTTAATTAAAAGCTTAATTAAAAAATTGAAATTTTTAAATTAAGCTTGTTCCGAGCTGTGTCGTATTCCAATACAGCTCACACAGGGCATCGGAATTCGCCACAGGGCCGGAATTACAAATTAATAGTTTGAAGCGCTGCCGGAATTAGTCTCACAATATGCCGAATTTAGTCACGCACAGCGTCGGAATTCAGGGATTTTGTAGGTTTCAATTCTAAAGGCTTTTAAATGAATGGCAACAGTTCGTGATGTTTCATTGTTGCTGGTACGTAGTGTGGTGTTTTGAGAGTGATGTAAAGCAGTCAGAACTCGAGTTGCGCATACGGTGATATTTTTATAGCCATTCATTTCTTGCTACATCCTTGATGTGTCGGAATTTACCGCGTTTACCCTACTTCCTGTAACATTACTCCAAAATAATATCTTTAATAAAAAATTACCAATGAATACCAATAACCTGTTTCTGCAATACATGCAGTAATTACAAAATATTAATTCTGAGAGAAATAATTACTTGAATATTTTTTTAATTATGTTATAAAATTTCACTTCTTGCTAAATAAATAGCTAATATCTGGAGTTACAATATTTATCACTAAATTATCCGCTTTAATAGAACTATTGTCACTGTTGATTTCTGGCTTAATACTATTATAAAATTATGGAAATAATAGTGTGGAAGCAACCACAGTTGAGCCAAAACTATATATGCCAATGGCCCATTATGTCTGTAGTCTGTACCTGTAGGGCTGTAGCTCTCACTAAATTTTACCTGTTGAAATTAATTTCTAGGAAACATCTTCATTCACTTTCTGGATATAAATGCCTGACAATCTTGTCTGATTATAAATTACTGAGGGACTCTTTCTTTGAAATGAATTCTAATTCTCAATTATTTACCAGTCATATATAAACAGCTAATTGATATTGTCTAATATCTTTCTAATAATATATATTTTGACAATAGACATTTTTTGCCAAGAAAGTAAATTTAGAAATCCTGTGAATTTCAAACAATTGGATTCTAGCTACTGACAGTAGCTAGCAAGTTTTTGAATGCTAATATTGCTGATGGTTCTGGTATTTATGAAACAGGCTAAATAACCATGAACCTATAGATGTATTGCTGTAATCCTTTCTGCCAATTCCTAGTGAGTGATAGAGCATAAACCTGTTGTTAATAATTTTAGTCAACTGCTAACAACTTGGCTGTTCATGTGCAGATCATTGCTGCAGTGCTTTTGTGGACTGTGCTGCGACTTGCACCCGTGCCAGTAGCCTTGCTACGGTCGGCTTGTGTTGCTCCTTCTTGCTACTCTTTGACTGCACCAAGTCCGTGCAAGGCTGTCCTTGCGTCCATTGTTTACATAGGAAGAGCAACCACATCAACTGTCACCACGACTACCCACATAACTAACCCGGCTGCCTCCGCCACCATGATGCCTTTTCGCAGCCGTGCAAAGGTTTATGCGGAGGTCAACACTCAAAGGCCCCAAGATTATTGGGATTACGAGTCTCATCTAATTGAGTGGGGGTAAGCATATGAGATTTCAACTCATCCCATAGCCTTCTTAACCTAGGAACCATAGTGGCAAGTCAGAAATTTTTTAGAATCAGTTCATTTTTAATTTACTCATCTACTCAAGATTCAAACAAATATCTTGTGTATGATGCTGGTATGCATTATACTTTACTGATCTACTTATTAGAATCAAAAATGAACTTGAGGGCAAGTCTACAAATAGTCTCTGCTTTGTCACTGTGCTGGGAACTCCTACTCAAATTCTCAGCTCACTTATGTATAAATTGATTTCTTTCATATCTCCAAAAATATTCCTTTTAATTTCATTTTAAATATAGGTACTCTTAAAAAACAATTATTGAATTTGCTCAAGATTAAAGATAGAGCATCTTGTCATTAACAATTTTATATATCAATCGTTTCCAACTAGGGTTTAATGTAATACTGTTGAGCATATATTATCTACCTACCTTTAAAAAACTCACTCAATATCAAACTCAAAAAACTCACACACTTGAAAACTCAACTCACTCAAAAACTCAACTTACTCAAAAAACTCAATTAATATGCACCAGTGTGGTCATGTGATGCCCTGACACAGTTCAACTCGTAATAGCTGAAGCCCTCATCATTAAAGATAGGACTGCTGTTATCAACCTTTAAACTTAGGTGCCAGATTAGTCAGAATTTTGAAGCAGTTTTTTCGATAATTTTTTAGGTTCAAAATTTTTAGCGTTATCCCATTTATGTTATTTTAGGCTTATTTCCATCAATATCTGATTTTTTAGGAGTATCCAATTTACATGATTTTGTACTTGTTTAATGGCAAACCGGAATTTTTTTAATATCAATTCATTTGTTCATTTTTAATTTCCTCATCTACCCGAGATTTAAACCAATATCTTATGTATGATAATGCTGGTATCCTTGATACTTCACTGGTATACTTGTTGGACCCATAAGTGAACTCAAGGAAGAGTCTAAAAAAAGTTTCTTCTACGTCACCATGCTTGTGTTGATCTAAATTTCATTACTCAGTGCCTCTTGTAATTGAAAATAAATGTTGATACATTCAAAACGTCATTAACAAATTAAAAATGTCCTATGGTACTACCCTGATTTTTTAGTTAACAGAGCATACAAAAATATTCCATTTACTGGAAAAAAATTCAATAAAATGAATTCTCTGGTCTTCAATTCAGATTTTAATTAAAATAGACTAGAAGTCCAAGCCTGAAAGTTTTAGCGAATGCAATAATAAAAGACTTGCATTTTGGTGAGAATATAGAAGCACTTGGCCCATTTCTTCAAAATGCACAAGAAAAAACCTATTACAACCAATTTTTAAGACTAGCACCATACTATCTTGAGTATTTTTTATTGGACATGTGCAAAAGATAAAATTTGAACGTTTTTAGCCATATTAGTATTGTGATAGATGCTGGGTGATAGGTGAAGGTGATGACAGTTGTACAATGGTTTGCAGACAACAAGATGATTACCAGCTCGTCCGCAAACTGGGGCGTGGAAAATACAGTGAGGTGTTTGAAGCCATCAACATCAACAACAATGAGAAGTGTGTAGTCAAAATTTTAAAGGTAAAAATAACAGCAACTCCACACTTGCTTTAACCTAATTGAAACTTGTTACCTGCGTATTAAGTCCTTATTAGATTTTTGTTAAATTTATAGAAATAAGAAACGTTTGGTCTGAGTAACAGTGAAATAATATCAACACTTCAACTATTGCTGAATTCCGATTCTTAGTAGTAATACTGACTAAAAATTTTGAACCTCATTGTGAATGTGCATTCTAATTTTAAATGTGGCGGATTTATTGAGCTTGAAGCTTTTTCACATTAAATTCATGATTTGGCCATTGAGACTTGCCAATCACACTAAATTGTATAATTATCCTTGATATTAATTTATTTGTCTTTCTGGATGTAAAAATCTACCCTTGCTGACAATGATATCCTTTATATCAGCCCGTGAAGAAAAAGAAAATTAAGCGCGAGATAAAAATCTTGGAGAACTTGCGAGGAGGTACCAACATCATCACGCTGCAGGCTGTGGTTAAAGATCCCGTGTCACGCACTCCTGCTCTTGTCTTTGAGCATGTCAACAACACGGACTTCAAGCAGCTCTACCAGACACTCAATGATTATGACATAAGATACTACCTCTACGAGCTTCTCAAGGTATTGTTGTGTTCCACGGTTTTATTTTATAATGCTGGTTATGAGAACCCATTATCTAAAAATCGATTCCAAGGTTATACAGCTTCTATTTTCAATCATTCAAGTTCATACTCCTTTTTGTAAGTCGTGCCACTAGGAATATCTCTATGAGCTCCAGAATATCTGGAATTATTCAAGTTCAAAATAGTTTTATAAGCCCATTATATACGGTGTGATAAGTCTTCTTGAATTTTAAACCTATCTCACACCATCCAAATTACTAAATACTCCAGCTAACAAGTGTAATTTATTACATATCGTTATTATTTTAAGGTACTAAATAATCTTATAGATTGTAGAAATTCTCTGTAGCGACTGAGTTGATTGTCAATACAAGTATAATAAAACTGCTGTTCAATCTACAGGCTTCTTAGAGTCAGGTCTTGAGGGGCTTTTGGAGCCAAGTACTGAATGTGTTGATATTAGGTACAACCTCTTGCATTCTCTTTATTTTACTTTCTGGAGAACATTTTTTTTTCGAGTTTTTAACTGACGATTAAATATTTTGTGTGCCGAAAAATGTTATACCATGTTTATGTTATGGTTATGAGACCTTGACAACCACTATCATTTTGCCAGGCGCTAGACTACTGCCACAGTATGGGCATCATGCATCGGGACGTGAAGCCTCACAACGTCATGATCGACCACGAGAACAAGAGACTGCGTCTCATTGACTGGGGACTGGCTGAGTTCTACCACCCTGGCCAAGAGTACAACGTTAGAGTAGCGTCTAGATATTTCAAAGGTCCCGAGCTTCTCATAGACTACCAGGTCAGTAAAACTTCATTTTCTCTAAGACTTTTTCATTAAAGATTATTTAATATATTTTATTGAGTCTTGCTTTGTCTTGACAATTTATTCACATCAGACTCCGCCATTCCATCATTGGTAGTTTGCTGGTGGTAAAATTTATGTTGCCAGAGACAAAGAGAGAATATACACTTCGAAACTACCAAGCAGGCCTGACAATTGGACTGGATCTCTAATGGCGTCCACTGCCTTGTTTTAAAATGCTTTTTAATATTTTTTGCCGTGACATGGGGCCTCAATGCAGTTCTATTTTCAGATGTATGACTACTCTCTGGACATGTGGTCGTTAGGATGCATGCTAGCTAGCATGATCTTCAGGAAGGAACCTTTCTTCCATGGCCATGACAACTATGACCAGCTTGTCCGCATTGCAAAAGTGCTTGGCACTGAAGAACTCTTTGAATATGTTGAAAAGTACCACGTAGAACTGGATCCACGCTTCAATGACATCCTTGGCAGGTATTTTGAAATTTTTTAACTTGCCCGGACATGCTTTATAATGCTCATAATAGCCGTTTTTGCTACCATTTTAGCGCAGCGACAGTGGCGCCGTGATGAGAGAAAATAGCCATGCGCTGGTGGGCGGCATATCATCAACTATAATCTACCTACAACAGAATTTACTTTTCAATTGAACGGTTCCGCGAGTGACCCTAATCTCTTCTTAGACGACCTTGAATTTTCATAACAATTGTCATTCTCTATTTGCTCAATCTTTGAAACTTGGGCAGTGATAGCGACCGTGTCTTGTTAGTCGAATTGTTGTTTGATCTCTTCTGAATAAATATTCAGTTGTTATTGTAAACTACATAGTTAGAAATATCAATAATAATAGATGGCACATTTATATTAAAAAATATTGCGTGCATTTTAAAATTCATTTCAGACTATGCAGGCTCCAAAACTCATACTGACAATGATGCATATATCAAGTGCTCCACAATTTTGGCCTCACGTACTAGCATTTGGTTTGTTATGGTATAACGCGGGCACGGCTCATTCCGTGCCTTAGCACTTTACAATCAGGTTCCATACGAGCATACGTAGGAGTGTGAGTGAGGCCTAAACAAAGTTACTGGCATATAAAGAGCAAACGCTGATGTTTATTGCGGGCATTTCAACTGACGGACCAACTAGGAGTAGTATTTCAAGACCATTTCATAGACGATGTTTGATCCCAATTTGACTGCATCAGTAGGTATATGTTCTGATGGACTTGTGCACATTACAGGCATTCGCGCAAACGGTGGGAGCGTTTCGTCCATCACGAGAACCAACACCTCGTGTCTCCTGAGGCATTAGACTTCTTGGACAAACTGCTCCGGTACGACCACCAAGAGCGCCTTACCGCCCACGAGGCCATGGAGCATCCATACTTCGCGCCCATCGTTAAGGACCAGGGCATCATGATAGGGTCCCCTGCCCCTCAGCAGGCTGCTGCTCCTGTCATTTCCGGCATACAGGATTAGACGAATCTGAGTCGCCCTCAAGTGGGTGCTATCGAGGTGACTGAAGCAATGGCTTAGTCGTTGTTTGTGGATATGTCTTGTGGAAACATTGAAGAGGCTGTTTCATGTTGAAATGACTTCGGCAGTATGAACTTCTTCGATTTTCAAACTTTTTTTTATTGTTATACCATAAATAACTTCTAGATTTTGACATCTTGATGCACATCATCATTGCTTTTCGAAGCGGTTGATCTAACTTACTAACTCTGTTAACTTGATGACAATTTCCTCAGGGCGCAGTCGGTGGTGGTGAGGAATCAGCCTCGTCTTCACGTTCCTTGCATTATGCTCACGAACATTTCGAGTTCTGACGCGTTTAGAGCTGTGACATCCTCGTGACTTCAAGTCTCTTTGCTGCCATCACTAATCATGGGAATACAAACGTTCTTAATATTATTGGTATGCTGCCATGCAGGTACCGCGTGTTTATTTTTTTTTTTTAGGTTGGAATGAAGTTCGGCATGGGAAGTATGCCTTCCTTGCTTAACACTGAATAGACGATATCGTTTCGTCTGGTGAAGTGCATGTATATTACTTGTATACAAAAAGCGTGTAGTTTTCTTTTGATACTTTCCTAATGATCCTGATATAGAGAAACCTCTGGTTAAGCGTCCAATCGCTTCGTTAATTTGATCGCCCATGTGGACCAATCGCGATGAGTTCACTACAAGCGTTGATTCTTGGACCACGATGAGCAGCTATTTCAGGATGTGGCCTTTTTTTTTGTTCCTTCATAGAGGTAATAATCGTAATTTGTTTGTGGTATTTAGTGGCTTTCCAATTATTTCGTCTAAATACGTGTTGTGTCTCGGTTATAATGCTCCGAAATCGTGTTGACTTAGAGCAAAGTAAATTATCCCAACTTTCATGTTCTAGTCTTAGTGGAAGCCTTCGCGCTGCTTAAAACAATGTCAACTAAAATTTTATTTATGTTCCTTGTGATATCTGGCCTCACATAAGCAGCTTCATATTTCTCAGTCTTTGACCCATTCAGTACTCATAAATAACGGAATTGGTTTTAGATATATTTGCAACGTGAATGATTTGGGTTTCGGAATTGAAATGATCGCTGTAAACCTTGTAAATATAATAGATACTTCTCGAGGCATTTTCATGACAAAATTATATAGTGTGCGGCGTAAAGGTTCATATTTTCTGTTATCAGATCTTTAGCTCATACTTCCCAGAATCTGGTCGATGAAATCTTTTGTAAATCAAAGCAGAAAAAGTGCCCTTGGAGACGTTAAAAGCGACTTTTTAAACAATGGCTTTATAATAGATTTATGTGGAGAAAACTGTTACTGATCTGAAAGAGGTTGCGTTTTAATTAAATTATTGATTTTGTTCTGTTAATAAGTGTTCATCATTTGCAGGTAGAAGCTATTTATCTGCCTTGTTGCCAGGAAGCATTTCCATTATTTGACCTTGATAAAATATCTCCAATGCACGAACGGATTCAATCTTTAATAACTCATGCCTGCGCGATCGTTGTTTTTTTAGTAAGAATGACGTTGCCTATGAAGATGTTTGTGATACTAATGTTGGAAAAATGTGTTAGCTTTGATGGTATTATTTATAAATAAGAGCCATTCGCCTAATATGCCATGACTGTGGCATTAATGCTACCTATCTAGTTACTGGTGACGGTATTCAAGTTGACGTCATTGATAGCTAGATACTCGAATAGACTCAGACAAGCGTAGTGTTGTGCTTTAGATATCACGTGTTATGAATGTCGCCTTCACAACCTGTCGGCACGTTGTTCAAGAGACCTATCTTCGACACCCATGTGCCAGAATGCGATTTGTTTTTCGCGGTTGAATTTAGATTTCAGGCTGTCGGGGGGTTGTTATCGATCAATAGCAGGACTTGTGTACGTTGTACATTATCTTATAAATAATAAAACTATCAAGTGAAGTTATTCTTTCGTAATCATCACTGCGATAACGGCTTTCATTTTTTGTGAATAGGACGTCCATCATGAAGAGATGGATGAAGCCAAGCAACGTAATTTGAGCTGCCATTGCGGAATATTTTGTGCTCTGATAACTACCATGCGAGTGGAGCGTCTTCTGGACGCTCCACTAACTACTGGAGCGTCTTGGTCCAGAATCGAAATTTTCGGTGTTTATACTCCTCTTAAAGCTTGTTTTCTGCCGCATCGAACGGTACTTGGTCCATCTCTGTACGTTGATTTATGCGTTCACGACAGATGCCGAAAGAGGAGGCGGGAGGAGGGGTCCCTTCAGTATTTGTATAGGCGACAATTGCAAAGGCAGCATATTTAGTTGCTAGCGGAGCTACAGCTCAGTGACCTTCCAGCCAGCATGCCGGTATGTTGATGTAGTCTTCCTCTGCACTGCTGACTGACTTTGAAGTAAGCTATTACTTTCGGTATCTAAGCAACGTAACATGCCTTCATACAGCGCCCGCGCGCCACCAGTGGAGGGTTTTGGCCTCTACTGTAAACCTCCTACTTTTCTCACGGCAAGCCTCGTATATCCTACAGTTTTGAAGCTACCGCAGTGAGACATATACCATTCGATTCGCAGAGAAAAGATTAAATATTGCAGGCGTTTTTCCAATTTCGTTATAGTTAGGATTTTATTTTGCAAAAAGAGGGGGATGGAAAGGGGGTAGAAAATCGAAAAATTTCCGAAAAATGCTCCCACACCCACAAAAATGGGAATTTCAAAAAACGCCTGCATCAATTTGTAGACATGGTCTTAACGCATCGAATGATATGTGTCTCGATGTTGTAGCTTGAAAATCCTAGGCCCGCGGAGATTTCTACAGTAGACCCCTTTTTATCCGTTTCCTAAGAATCTCGCGTTTTCTTTATTTTTTTTGAAAAATTCACATGAACAAAAAAGTCTTAGAATTCCGTTTTACAATCGTGTATTAAATTTCGAAGTGATCCGTCCGTAAATAAAAGTTTTTTTTTTTTACCAAGACGCTCCCCTTAAGCTTACCTACAAATAGAAAGTCCAGGTCAATTACCCCCAAGTTAATGCGTCACTAGGGAAAGTAAATGCACCGTTACGTCGAAATTTGTTAGATATTTATTCATCATCACTTTCCTCTTCTTCGTCCTCCCTGTTATCAGAATCTTCATCCACATCCATGTTTTCCAAGATCTTCCTTTTCTCACCAGCTTGTGCTGAGACTTCTTCTTCTTCATCATCATCCTCGAACTGGACGTTCTTCTTGCTGCTCTTCTTTGCTTTGTGTTGACGAACTATAACGTCATCCTCGTCGTCCAGGAGCGTCTCAGCATTGGTACGAAGCTCTGCTTGCTTCTTGGGCTCAACCTCGTCCATCTCTTCCTCTGTGTCCTTCTTCGTGACTTTCTTTGCCAGCTGCAACAAGAATACTCGTTTAATTCAACGAAAAATTAAATAAAGAAATACACGCAGAATCAATTATTCTAGTTGTTAGGAGAAACTAACTTTGTCACTACGCTTTGCGGAAAATTGGCTTCAAGGTCTACCGGTCATTAACAAATCTACATGGATAGTGAGCTATACAAAAATTATTATGTATCTTTTATATCGTAGTAATCAATCTTAACTTTTAGCATATTCAAGCTTATGACTGGTATGTTAAAACTTCATTTCAGAATATCTCATGACCATACATGGAATTTATTTTCAAGTTATCTGCAAAAAAAAAACATGGATTAAGTTAACGGTTTGGCAATAACTGCGACATCTTTTAACGACAAGAAATACAATACGGTACTAACATATACAATACGTACAATATTACATGAAAACGATAACGCAAAGAGACTACCAAGTACGACGATCGTTTCCTCCTAGCGCCTATCCGCGCCAAATCAAGCAACAAATGCAAGTCAGATTCGGGACATCGACAGAAAAAATTCCAAGTGAAATGAATGATAGGCCTCATCAGATAAATTTGGAAATGCTTGTAATTCGTACGTAAGCTTATTCCCGAAGGGAATAATCACCAAGAATCTTACAAATGCGGTTTTATTCGAAATTAGGAGTCGCCTCCAAATCACGGGGTCCAATTTTTTAAGGCAACGATTGAATTGCTATGAAGTAGATAAAATACACAAATAAAGTTTCATGTCATGGTTGGTTGGGCGTATTTTTCCTTCATCTGTGCGGATAATTAAAAACCTTGTAAGATAATTAATGATTCCATCAGCTTGTGATTCGAGCAACATTACTCGGAACAGAAATTTGAGCAGATATGATGGTCCCTATATCAGATCATCAATCCTGCTAACGTATTTATCTGCCTGAAAACGATTATTAATGAAAGTTAAGTAAACCCTCAGTCAATAAACAATAAAGCTTCACGAATTTTAGATCTCGTTACATTTTGGGCACTGGACAAAAAAAATCAATATTCTGTGCCAATTCGAAGTCCTTGGGCCATAGGTAAATAACAGAAACAAGACCGAGGCAACATGCTAGTCAATTATTAGCGTGAAAGTTCGTGTTTGAAGCCCATCACCCTTAATATACAGATGGCTACTTGAGTGCATGTCAACAATATATATCTAATAGTTTCACAATAACTATCTTTAATAACCATTTCAGTTTGACAATTTTAACAATTGCGGGAAAGACGATTTGATAAATGCATTCACCGACGATCATTGATTATCATCTATTGTAAGCAACACCGAAGACGCCGCTAGAAACTGATATATTGTTCGAGAAATCTTGAGGTTTCTTCCATATTCGATCCACGTTTGATATAGTAAGTGATGCATAAAAGATGCATATTCCTGAGAACCATAAATAAATCAAAACCATTTGGTCCCCCGTCTATAAAAAAATAAATATAAACATACCAGGATCATGATGAAGCGTCCTACTCGTTGTGCATCATCTATAATAATGAATAACGTGATAAGAAAGCAGCACTAACCTTGAGGCCGGCTGCAGGAGATTTGATGACGGCGATGTGCTTGCGGACCAAGAACTTGGCTTGCGCCAGCTTCACCTTCTTGTCAACCTTAAGACGATCCAAAACCACCTTAGACTCGCGTTTGTGTCGAATGCTGGCAATCGTTTCGAGATTGCTCACTGCAATGCAGACAATGAGTATTACTTGAAGTAAATAAATAACACTAGGAATAAAATAGTCTGTACGCGCAATCATTTTGTGGCCCGTTTACGCTTGACAAATATGGCTAAGCAGCTTTTTATTAGAAGCATGTCATTGGAAGAGAAGTCTTCATACTGTTTTCTGCACTACTTGAGAAATTGTTGAAGGAGATTATACAAGAAAGGTTATTCTTCAAAGGCCTAAACTAAACTTTTACATGCTAAACCGAACCTGCAGAAAAGTACAGGACCAGCTTTGATTGTTTCTTATGAATTTCTTAACAAATTTTAATTTTCGAATAAAATCCTAGAAAACACTGCATGCACATCAAGAATTGAACAAGATTTATAGAGACAGAAATTATTAAGTTGACAATTTGAAAAATTTAGGTATCTTCCTTTCCAAACAAGAATCTGAGTTTTAACTTGGAATAAAATTTTTGATGCCTAGCGCCATATCAAACCCGGTGGAAGTCTAGTAGCTATTTCGAACTATCGTCAGTCCTGAAAAAATCCGGTCAAATGACACGATTTCAGATCTGTGAACAAGTCACAAAAAATAATAATCGGCAACAGGCCACATCAGGTCTACTCTTTAGCACCGATATTGCTATGTTATGTTATGTTTAACTAAAAGATTTTGAGAAACCAAAATGCATGCACTATGCAAACATGATACAAAGAAAAAAATTCTGTTTGAAGCCTAATTATCCAATCATGGTGGTGTTAATTGTGGATAAAGTTAGAATGAATGGTTGCTACAAGCTAAACATTCTAATGCAAAGCTAGGCCAGGACAGTGTTGGATAAAGATAAATTGATCACCAAGATTTATAAAAGTTATGATAGATCATTGCTGAAATGATTCAAACTCACCAACTGTAGACCACTTCTCTCTGTTATATTTAATAGGAATATTGCGTCTCCGCTCAAATTCAAATGTGGCATCACTTGTGAGTTCTTTCCCATTAAGTTTTCTGAATGACTTAGTCCATCTGGCCTTGCGGGGATTCCTCTTGTGTTGGAAGTTTTTGCGGCATTTTGAGGTGCAGAACTTAAATATCTGTAAATAAGAACCATAACCAATGATCAAAATTAGGCAAAATTTTTCAATAAAAAACACACTGATGATCCTATTCCAGTCTCCTAAGCTGTAATCAAATCACAAGCTTTTGGAAATGAATTTATTCAATTTTCCTTCATTGCATTTTTTAAGAACAAAATATTTAATTTACAGTTATTTTTTACCTGACAGCCACTGTCATTTTTAATTAATACATTCGCTTAATCTAATAACATCTATGATGCTAAAAAGCATTTCAATCACTTTGAATAATAAATATACAGTAGTAATGTAATTGAATTTAAATCCATTATTCATATTGAGGCAGCACAGTGCACTTGTACAAGATTTAAAAAATTCTTACTTATTACTGAAATCTTATGGCTCCAGAGTGACATATTTTCAACAACTTTGGAATCTCACAGCTTGATCACACACTTTAGTTGACAATTAAAAATGAGATAATTATTCAATCAAAAACTTCAGGGTTCCAAAATAGGCTGAAAAGCTTTAGTCGGTAGTTGCTGCTAAATGTATGGAATTGAATGTATGCTATAAGCATACATATTTAACACAGTTACTTTTTATTGTGATATGTCATAGTTCTAACGTCTTGAGATACGCAGTTCTTATGTCTTTAGCAAAACGCAAGCCGTGGCATGAGCCATAAGGCTTGAATTATGAACAAAGGTGTGAAGTGTCCTTGAGTTGAAGTCATACCAGTAGCCTGTGCAACCTACAAAAGTAGGTCATTGTCAATTTGTCAGTCATTGTTAGCAAAAACTGGGTACCCTTCGCCAAGACTGACAAGTACAGATAATCCTAGAATTGCACTATGGGCTTATAGAACAGTGTTAGACTGCTAGTGTGCTGTAGACCTGTCCGTAAAGCATAGCATCAACACAGACTTTAGGCTCCTTCTCTAGTTTATCCTTACAACACTTCTCTTTAATTTCACTTCTTGTTTTTTGTTTGTTTGTCTGCTACAAATCTTATACCAGTAATCAATATTTAACACACTTTTAATAACCCAATCGATCATAAATATTGCACACATGCATAAAGTTGGAGACAATGCTTGAATCAAGTGACAGAATTAATAATTTTAAAATTTTAAAGACATTATTTTTAATACTTTCCAATAATGTAAAAAAATTGTCTTTAAATGTTTTAAACAGCAAGAATGACATATGCCTTTACTTTAAAGGCCACTGAACATGTGATAATGCAGGATATTTGGCAGGAGGAGTGCAGTACAAGGCATGGAATATATTTACTTGCCGAGCAGTGACTGAATTTTTAGAGCTGTGGTTTTATGGATTTGCCAGTCATAATTCCATTTCTTTGAGCCATGAATTCCATATCTTGGACATGAAAAGCCATTTGCAAGCCACGAACTTATTTACAAAGTTCGTGCATGTGTTACCGCAAATCTCTCATTTTACATTAAAATAGTCACAGCAAAAAATAACATTTGCCTTGACTTAAGTGGCAACCGAACACATGATAATGCAGTCAGACTGCTCTGACATGACTGCAGCTATGCAGTCTTTAAGGAAACGTTTTCAGTTGACTTGTTATTATTACGTTCTGCAGGATATTTTGGTAGGAGTGTTGAACTTCAAGTTCAATGGCAGTTGAACTGATGCAGATTGTGTCATCATTGTGAAAGTTGAAAACTTTATGAAACAACAGTTTGCAAAGCATAGTGACAAACCAGTGATTTTTTAGAATCAGTAATTAGCTCATTTTTATTTTTCTTATTTACTCAAGATTTAAACTAATATCTTATGTATGATGATGCTGGTACAGTATTACAGTAGTTAAAATTGAACTTGAAGGAAAGTCTAAAAACTCTCTGCTTTGCCACTATGTTGCAAAGTACAAATGAAATTTTTCAATCCAACAAAAATGCATGACATTATAGCTGCGACATTTCATACCTACTGAAATTATATTATATTAGAGCTGGGATATTTCAGAAAAAAGTAGGACTTTTCCATCCCTGCATGATGGTACTAAGTCCTGCAGAAGTTAAAAATTTTATGAAATGACTCTTTTGTGAACAGCAATTTCTTCAATCAAACAAAAATACAAGACATTAGAGCTGCAAGATTTCAAACCTACTGAAATTATGTGACATTAAATTTAGAGTCATGAGATTTCATACCAACCAAAATTATATGATAGGCCTATTATTATTAGAGGGTACGCAGCCATGCACCACCAAATTTGTGCACCAATCAGCCTTGAAAGGAACACCTAACATACCATCAAACAGGGTAAAAAGGGGCGGGTGGGGTAAATAGGGACTCGCGTCCCACATTTCGTAGAAATGTTGTATCAGCTAAACTAATCAAAATATTGCAAAACTAAAAATAGTAGCATAAACGTCAACATTTTGACTATCTATTATGTATAAAGCTAGTCAAGAAATCAAACATTTACTATCTCTAAAAAATCGCTTAAAAAGTGCAATTTTGGAAAAGTATCTCTGCTAAGGTCTGGAGCAAAAAAAATATTTGCCATATTGCAAAATTTTACTTACATAAAAGTTGCATCCAGGTGTTGGCTTGAAAACTTAATTGCAGAATTTGCCTATCTCATTCCAAAAAAAAAAAAATGGCAGCCATTTCCGCGCGACGGGGTAAAAAGGGACACCCCCGCGGTAATTAGAGACACCCTTAAAAATGCATTTACAGTAGAACCTCAGTTAGCAAAGGCTCCAGTTAACAAAAAAATTGATTAACAACAAAGAATTTTGATTACATTTACCTTGCTTGGCAAAAAAAAAATTCACTTATCAAAAAATTAGTGCATCATTGGTTGTCACAAAATTGTACATAGAATGCTATATATAAATAGAATTTCAACACGGGTGGTTAATGGCCAGAGAATTCGTCAATTTAAATTTTCAGGGTCGAACAATATTCTTCAGATGACATTAGTATATAAGGGTAACTACTTCGACTTTGAGCAGCCATTTATCCTGCCACCTGAGACAAGCTCGCAACCAGACCAGGTCTCAAAGCATCACAATCAAGCAACTTCATCTCAAGATCCGCGATGAAATCAATTGGCCCCGTGACACTCTCAACAACGTCAATCTCAACGAGACTGTCACTTGCACTGCGCTAGAGGAACCCACCAGCATCGTCATCTTGCAGTGGCCCGACATAATCCGACCGATGATAGCTGAAGCCCTTTTCTGCGAATTGGACTCCATCTATCCATCTCATAACTACCTGATTTTTTAAGCTTTGAGATTGTTTTGGAATTATTTTCATGGTTCCAAATTTTCGTGTTGTATCCTATTTACTTGTATCATGTACTTATTTCCATCAACATTTCTGTATTCAATGCTTCCTGTAACTTGAAAATGAATGTTGTTACATTCGAAACGTCGTTAATAAAGTGATATTACTCCTTACCCCATTTCAAGATTGATTCAGGAGCCTTTTATATTGCGTCTAGCGCCTTACAAATAGCATATGGAATTTTTTTGAAGATGCCATTCAATAGCCCTCGCAAAGAGCTATAAAATGAGCCTAAACTCGTTTCTGAAATGTTTCATGGTAAGAAGTTATTAACAAAAAATGCTCAAAACTGTCCCTTTTTACCCCATTTGACGGTATTTCCGGATGACCACCAATCAGCCGTGGATTAGGTTATCCATCAGTAACCAGCTCATGACATCATCTTGCTTTAAATATTAGGAGCTTTACGCCACCACATTCTGAAGTGAATAGCCCAAAGAGTAATGGTTATGCACCACTGAATGTTGCATCGAATCATCACTTCATACCCTGACTTTAGCTCAAACTGTAACTTGCGGACAACGGACTGTGGCCAACTAGCCCAGCCCACCAGTGGAACTGCGTGGATCCTGCCGTGCACCACCAGACTGTTACTTTTAGCTCACAACATTGGGGTTAGGTTTCAGAAAGCATAGTTCAGTTCCAAAATCTATCGTCCTTTGACGAGCAACTTCCACAGCTTTGCTAAATTACGTAACTTTTAGCTCACAGCATCTGAGGTTAGGTTTCTACTCCTCTCTCTCCCTCTCCTTCACCTACTCCTCTCTCTCCCTCTCTTCCACCTACTTCTCTTCTCTCCCTTTCCTTCACCTACTTCTCTTCTCTCCCTTTCCTTCACCTACTTCTCTCTCTCCCTTTCCTTCACCTACTTTTCTCTCTCCCTCTCTTTCACCTACTCCTCTCTCCCTTTCCTTCACCT